TCTCAAAGCCGATGGACCCCGAGATAGGTGACAGGTTACAGACATTCATGAAACCAGTTCATATTGCTTTAGCAATCAGAGATGCATATCTGGTACTCTTGCTGAGGCAACTTGATCGTTTCAGGAAACCCGCAGGGAAGTCGCTAGATGCCGTTGATTTGTTGGATGATTCTTCTGCCGCGCCTACCGATGAGAGAGGGAACTGGATTGGCCAGAAAGATCAATCTAAGCTACAACCTCCCCTGACTGACGGACTCAAAGAAAATATGCCGCCTAATACCGAGAATTCCAACTACCACCCATCCTCACTCATATCTTTATTACAGCGGCTACCGTTACCAGACCTCGGCCCGGGGTCGGATTTGCACTTGGCATCAGAGGCATTCAAATTACGATTGCACCATGAAGAGGCCCAGGCAGCACGGTCTGCTCACCGCGGAGCCTTCTTTATCACGGGTCCAGTTGGGTTGAAGGGTCCTAATGGGTTTTGTCGATATGAGGTGAAAGGCGAGTATGATCCAACCAAGCGTGGATGGCGAACAGTGGAAATGACGCTCAAGGATCTGAATATGAGGAGACAGGAGGCATTGGGAAGTTGATCATATATACCCAGAACTTTCATCTCAAGGCCCAAGGCATATCGGTCTCCCTTGATGTTCATGAAATGTGTGTGGAGCATTTTGCCCTATGTATGAATACGATGTACATACGTGTTTTCCATAGTGACTTAAAGAATTACCACAAATTTGCGACTACTTCTATATTTATGCATAAGCAGCCATGGATGGCTATAAGAATTATTAATACTGTATCTGTGCCTTCCCGTGTCTAATGTACTAGGAGTCGACCAACCTTGGGTTGAAATGACGATTCCAAAGAGCTATTTACGATATACATATGTATCTATCTATATTAGTACCGAGCCAATGTAGTCCCTATACCATGTGTTGACTTGATCAGCGCAACCGATCCTTATTCCAGTCACAATCTAGGGCAATAAACCATGTCCCCTCGGCGTGATAAATTAGATGCGCAACAAAGACGTCATGCGACCAACGGGCGAAAGTGGCAGGCAGCGTGGGAATAGATGAGAGAAGAAGTTACTTGATGTTACTTGATGTTACTTGATGTTACTTGATGTTACTTGATTTGCTAACCATTAGCGAAATACTCAACTAAAGCTGGAAAGCAAATGACCAACGACATCAATGGGTAGTCCAGGTATGTCCGCTCCCTTTGCAAATACTTGGTCTGTTTTTTTCCCCCTCTAGCGTCGACTAGAAATACCAAGCAGAGGAGGTCCATGTCTCGCCCACAGCATTCTTCAATCTAGGATAACTTGACTGAGATCATATCTCTAGATTCTCCATCAAGTTCAGGAAGTGGAGAAGCTCATCATCCGTAGCAGCCTCATCACAGCCTAGTAGGGAGGATGACTGGCCAAAAACGCGATTTAATGGTCATGCTAGAACAGTCCAGGTGTCTATGACAAGACAGATGTTGGTCTTCCGTATGACATAATAGAGAGACTGAGAGATAGCCTGGTTTAGCGTGTCAATGAAATGGCGGGCAAGGAGAAAATGGAACTTGGTGTCATTCCAGAACTTCAAATATGAAGCTTTTGTGGACGCTAATAAGCAATATTGCGAACCCATGTGCCTGCCATGAACGAACATAAAGCGATGTCTTCTCAACTGCTCATATTTCCAAGCATAACGCCGCCAATCAATGACAAACTTATTGTTGCAGAGGGGGTTGGTAGTTAAGAGGGCGCCTACAAGACGGTTAGTGATACAGCTAAGGGAGCAGTTCGCAAATAACCGACTTGAACAATAAGATATGAGGTTCAGGTTCATGCACCTCGTAATGCTCCCATCCCAAGCTCTGCGCACACATTATTAGAACCCATGCACATCTTTCAATTATGTTCAACATACTTGTGTAATACCCAGAGCTCGCCATTCCTCCTCCCAAAGCAATTTCAGAGTGCCCTTAGAACTGTCAAAGTAGTCTGCGGGGATCTTTTTGAGCATATTCTTTGGGAGCTGCACATGGCGGTATTCAAATTTGTCGTCGTTGTATCTATACAGAGGAGTCAATGGAGAGTCTACCGCATTGCCATAGAGTCCTCACCTTGCCGAGTAGTGAATAGAGTCCACAAATTCATCAAGCTTCTCGCGCTCCGTCTCCAGGAGGAGACGGGGCTTCTTGTTGCGCCTAGCTGGGTCGATGTCCATTTGGATAGTGGAATGAGAAGAGATGGCAGTATAAGGATCTCTCAACTATATAGATTGTCAACATCAATTCGATTTGTTCAAACAAGAAGGCCAGTAAATAAGTAGCTTGAGGATGCGGCTCACAATGTGGCTGAATGATTATCGCATGTAGCGACAACTAAAAACGTACGCTCGCAGTGCTCTTGTAGGGACCCTAAGGTTGTGCAAGATGATCTGATATTAAGGAATCAAAGGTACGGAGGATGAGTGATCGGGTGAGAAGAAAAGTGACGCGATAGAGAAAGGAGTGGATGTGAGTTGTCAAAACAACAAGCACCGGACTTGTTTTTGCGGGACTCGGGAAAATAGTGGGGGAGAGAAACCATTTATGCCTCAGGTGTCGATCCAATTTTTGGTCACATGATCATACTCGAAATAGTTGCGTGTACTATGTATGTAATTGGTACCAAAATTACACCGTTGCAAAAGCCGGTACATCAGATTTGCAGTTGTTTGTATACAAATTTAATTACAGTACTGTATGATACCATTCTGTACTATGATAACTCGTGGCCCACCAGTCTTACATAAGGCGGGATGACCCGGGGCCGTAGACGCGTCTGCAACACGTCTGAGATGAGGAATGTCTAGATATCTCCCTTTTGCCATACTCTATCACTACTTGTAATTTGTTCAATCAATTTTGACCCTTTATTTATTAAATCTGTATCTCCACTTCTCCTGTGGTCTTCAGTCACATATTGCTATCTTCAATGTGTGACTCGACTCGCGACTCGGGACGTTATCAGGACTAAGACATGACCTCAAAGCGACGGGCTGCCGCAGCTTCCCCAAATATGAAGTTTCGTAGAACGAAACGCCGAAAGGTTTCCGTAAGTATCCAATTTGTTACATTAATACATATCGATTAGCCCTTGACACTCGAGTGGAGGGCAATCGCGACATTACAACTACGGCAGTTCAACTCTATTCACTATGCTATATCGTTGCTTTGCGCCTATAAATCGGGTCACATGTTTCAATCGCTAATTCAAGTTGCGGTGCGTGTGATAGGATGATGATCTCATGATTCCCGATGAGTCCAATCGTGCGTCGTCGGATCTGGACTCAGAGCCACCAGAGGAAGCAGATCGAACCCCGGAGTCGCAGGCCGAGTCCGAGGGAGATTTTGAAGGTGACAGTCTTCAGGCTGCACAGGACAAGATTATGTCCGAGTTGACCCGGCTCAAGGATTCTGAGTAGGTATCACTGATTTTGGTCCTTTACTTGAAGCTGATGCCCCGAATTAGTGGCCAGGAGGTTTCTTACCCGTTCATTGGGAAACCAGACCGGAATCTGTACCGGGATTACTATGAGATCATTCAACATCCCGTGTCCTTACGAAGCATCCAAAAGAGAGTTCGCGGTACAGACAGTAGGAAGAATTCATCCAGAACCACCGCATATCCTACGTGGCAGTCCTTTGAAGAAGAGGTCAGCTATGTATGGCGAAATGCTAGGGAATATAATGAAGACGACAGCGATATCTCTATTCTCGCAGGGGTTTTGGAGGTGAGACGATACCGCGACGCTCTTACCATCCGTCCCCTTCGGCAGGCTAACATTTGAGCCCAGAATCACTTCCACCGACGCGTTGCCGAAGCCAAAAGGCTTGTTCCGAATCCCCGTGAGGTAGATGGAACCCCTGAGATGTCTCGCATCAGATTAAAAGTGGGCACTGCTGTGCCCCTAATGGCGCAGAGGTTAACCTTGAAACTGCCTGGGCAGAGCTCCGATACACTATACAAAAACGATGGCCAATCTTCAGATGTCACATTTAAGGACGAATCCCAAGGCCATACGCAGGATATTCCCGGAGCTGGATTAGCAGGTAGTAGAACTCCCCGAGGATGGTCTCTTGGGGGGCAACTTGACAGCCCTAGGTCGAGCACTACAAACACACCATCTGGCTCAGAGGAACAACAGAACAGTTCTATGAGCACGCAAGGTTTACTGAGCTCGGTGACCAACGCAACCGCCCTGACGATGTTCACTTCGCAAAACCCCCCAAATGCATCTGTTGATGCCTCTTCGAATGTCACTCGGCATTCATCTTCCGCTTCAGGTATGTTACGCTTGGTAGACATTCTATCGCCTAGCGAAACTGTTGCTCGGCTCCCGGCCTTTGCTGACCCGTTGTTAGCACGTGCTCCCTACCAGCCGCCTTTCGATTCATCGCCCATGGATTCGCTTCTGAGGCGATCAGGCCAAGGTTTGACTCCCACTGGGATTTGCAGGACTTCCAGCTAACTATGAGCCAGACCCAAGGATGGCTTTGATTCGTAACGTTCGGGTTCTTACACATGCCTCTTTGTCGTTACAACAGGACTTCTGTCTAGATATACCGCCTTCGTCGCTTGTTTCTCAACAGAATATCACGGTCCATCTTCCTCCGTCGCATAGTATACTGACGGTCAGGCTTCATTTGGCGGCTAGTACTTCCCAACGACAAGTAAAGATTGTTACACTCGTGGGTATGCAGCGTCTTCATCCATCTGGCGATGGAACTACACTTTCGTATGATATCCATTTGCACCCTGGCATGACAAAGGTCGACTTGGAAGCTATTGCTGCGCCGACCAGAGGGGTCCCAAAATCAGGCCCCCCTGGGTCAGATGTTGATTATGAACGTGTTACTCTATTCTTCAATCTGCTACGTTAACATTTATGTCAAATAAATAGTCTTCCAATAAAGGGGTGTGATCTATTTGCTTAATTTATCTATTAATCTTGGGCGTCACCTAGCAAATCAAGTGCCTCTTCTGCAGTAAGACGAGTAGACGGTAAGAATCGCATCAATCCTTGCATCACACGAAGTAGAGGTTTGAGTGTTAGATCAGGTGCTAAACTAGCAAACATCTGTTCAAGCTTCGAGGTTCCGTAATCTTCGAGCAAAATTAGCAGTACTTCTGTATGTGGATCAGTTCAATTACCTTCTTTCGGCTCATTATCGTTAGGTATCTTCCTAATCGATTCCTACTTAGGCTCCTATTCAGCTGGTAACTTCTCTATAAACTCAATCATTTGGTCAATTAATAAGTCGTCTCCGAAATACCAGAATGACCAGGTTGTGAATAAGAAGAAATAAATCTATAGTTCATATCGCTGTAAGTATATTTTCTTTAAAGAAATGATATGTTGAGATACCATGTAACCCGTATGCCATAAATCGACGTGATAGTCAAAGCAGTCGGTAAGAATCGTCTCTGGTACCCTTAATGAACACAGCTGGGCCAGCTTTGGAGGTTCATATCCTTGATAGAAACTCTCTCCGAAATCGAGGATCCGAATGTCTTTATAATCCTTATCTACCTATCCAATCTAGTCTGCTGCCTCGACTATTTGGGCCCGCAATTTATTGCCTAGAGGTATACTATCAATCCGTTTCAGCGGCTCAACTTTTGGGGATCTAAGAATATCGAAAGCTGCTCCTTAGTCCCTTTAGATAAATTAGTATAACTGAATATAATATTCTGATCGCTGATATCTAATAAGTCGTAAGTAAAATGGCGCTAACCATAGAAAATAACTGTAGAGGAGGAAGCACCCATAGGACCAATTAAGTTAAATACAAGACATTGGTATAACCCATTGGGGCCTTCGTGGACGAAGGAATCAAGTAGCTGAACAATGTAGTTCGAAGAAAGCTCGCCTCGAAATTTTGCCATTAGATTTACCAAATGTTCCAGCTCTGGTAGCGACGAATCTGCGGTAATGATTTTCAAGGAGACCCATTGATTTCGGCTGGCATAAGATTAGCTAGAAATGAGGTATGGGGTGAACTGACTCTCTGTCTTTCGTAAGCCATACCGTGGAAAAGCCACCCCATCCTAACTTGTGATATATCTTGTAACGGTCATCTTTAAATGTATCTCCGAGGTTGACTAGATAGTATCCTCCACGTTGGTATCTTGATAATGACTCCTATGTATAAAGAAGGTTGTTTTGGCAGTACAGAGATAGATCCATCTTAGAACGCAAAGCAGACGAAAACAAAAAGGTGTATGAAGTGTGACGTGCCAGGTCTTTCAAACGAAGAGTGCATTGAATTCAGAATAACTAAGATGGGGAGAGGAAGAAGAAGCAAGTTGCAAAGTGGGAGACAGCTAGTTAATATAGCGATCCATATGGATCGTGACATAAAGGGTAAGAACCTCGTACCACAGAGTTCTACTAAAAAAGACCACTAGTTAGTTAACTAGTTTGACAATGTTTAGTAATACATACCTCATTAGGTTTTCACCACTAGGGATATACAACTTAATACAGTCTGTTTTCTTGCTAATTGTTACCATCTACATGATTGTCTGCTATATGACTGACTATACGGATCGATCAACTATCTGTTTGCCCACTTACTCGTTTGAGAGTGCACTTTGGGCCGAAGTATTTCTCTCTTTCGCTACCACTCTTGTCAACCTTGATAGCGAGATCCAGCAGGTCTAGTCGATATTCAAACAATAGCTTTTAGAGCTTCTTGCTAAATTCGCCGCCACGATTAATAATCGTATAGCAAGATTCAGCAGCTCTAGCAGGCTATACCTCCTGCTTTTTCTTCTTCTACCCCACCAAACCGTTCCGAGGTTTTCTCCTAGATGTAGAGAAATGTACCGGTCAGCCAGTCAGCAAAATATGCTAGTAGGCCATTCGTGCAAGACCAGCCTTCGAAATTCAACAGCTCGGTTTTTACTACGACAACTTCTTTCAATATCGCCAGCCAAGTTTAGGCCATAGTTCTTCCACAACTCGATACCGTTATAATTCCAACGTACACGCTCCCCTACAAATCTTGATCAACTTCGTCGTCTATACAACAACCACAACAAGACTCAACGAGATCGTTTCCTTTCGAATAAGCAGAACACCAGTACTTTCATTCGGAACCGAATTTCTCGGCTTTTGATCTTTTCAAATTTATTTATTCAACAACGTGCCGGTTCATTTTGCAGTAGATCGGGGGAAAAAAACATGGTCCCAGAGGGGGTCGAACCCTCGACATCTGCGTTATTAGCACAGCGCTCTAACCAACTGAGCTATGGAACCGGTTATAGAATACAGCCAGCATTTTTTACATCATTGAGGTGGTGGGTGCAGAGGCACTAAAATACAATTTTCAGAATGTCAGAAACCAACATCGATACTATTTCTATACAGGTCATTTTACAGACCGCCCGTGTAACTTTTAGTTATCTGTGCATTTGCTTATTAATTGTGTCCTACTCCGTACTCTGTACCAGATTATACATTTCGGACCATGTACTCCGTAGAGATCTTTCTGCTGTAAAAAATCGACCAATACATTCGCATTATCGCGATTTTCTGTCCGAAAAAAAACATGGTCCCAGAGGGGGTCGAACCCTCGACATCTGCGTTATTAGCACAGCGCTCTAACCAACTGAGCTATGGAACCGATTATATAGTGCAACGAGCAATTTTACATTATTCAGCCAGTGCTGTATGATTGCGAATCGAAATACTTGGTAATGTAACGGACAATATGTCGACCAGAAATGACGCACTTCTGTACGTTCCTTACGTCTGGTGGTATATTAGTAGTCAGCAGCCACTTGTCGCGATTATGTAAACATATACCAAGATAGTTAGATCTCGGAGGAGAACCCTCCTTTTCACAATTACACTCATTTTACCCTTTGGTCCAGTATCCTACTGCTTATACTATATAAAACAGCCTCTCTTTTATTCAATAGTTATAAGCCCGGTTTACTAGTATATCAATTGTAATTAAATACTACCGCGGTCTGCTCTATAAGCTACTGTACCCCTAAGTATAGAAGTACTTTTACTTACCTAGTACTTCCTATCTATCTTCTACTAACTTATATAAGAAAGCTATAGAAAATAAGATATTATTCCTTTATAATAATCTTAATAGGATTACTAAATAGGTCTTAAGTATACCTAGAGTATATATTATTCTAAGGAACTTAATCTAATAGTAAACCTAGTTTATATAGGTAGAGATAATTATTAAAAATCTTAATATTTAGGATTATATTAACCTAAATATTAGTAAAGAAAAGCGGCCTACCCTACCTATAAAGCTAATTTAACTAAATAAAAATAATATAAAGTATAATTATAATATAATAAGTTAATTAATAATAAATAACTAACTTAATTATAATAATAATTAGAAAGACTATAATAATAATCTATCTAAATATAAGATAATTAAACTAATACTTAATAAGGTCTCTAAGAGAATAAGGAATATACTTACTATTAAGATCTAGAATCTAATAGTTAAAGTATAGGAAATTAATAAACTATTAGCTACCCTATAATTATATTTCTCTTATATAGATATAAAGTAGGTCTAGATTATTAGGAGATAGTAGATAGTTATAGTAATAATATTAATTAAAGATATAGTAATTAATAGCTAATTAATAAAATTAGAGAATCTCTATATAGAATATATAGCTATAAAAGTAAGCTTTATAACTAATAACTAAAATATAATCTATAATTTCTTAATAATACTTAATTCTATTAAGCCTTAATTCTATTACTATTAGTATTAGAAGGTCTTTAAATAAAATAGAAAGTATATATTTATTAGTATAGTAAATATATATTATTTAGAATAGTTATTCTTTAATTAAAAGAAGTTATTAAAACTAAAGATACTATAGGCTACTTTTATAACTCTTAATAATTAAAGAGAAACTAAAAAACTAGTAACTATAACTATAATAACTATTATAATTATAAAGGAAAAGAAGATATTAATATCTCTTCTAGCTTATATATATAAAGAAAACTATTACTTTAGTATATATCTATATTTAATTAAAGTAATATATCTACTTAATTAGAAACCTAATCCTAATATTTAAAAGAATATATAAAGAAAGGTTAATAAGTTATTTAGAAAAGTAAAGGACTATATAAAATAGCTTCTTATTAAACTAGTAGAAGAAGAAGACTTAGCCTAAGTATACTTTATAGTAATAAATCTAAATAATAAAGATTACTTAATAGTTATTAAAGATATTACTTTTCTAATAAATTTATAATCTATCCTATAAGATTATTAGTTAATTAATTTAGTAATTAGTTAATATATTATAAATAACTAAGGTCTCTTTATTAAATTCTATAAAAAGATAGGAAAACTAAAGGTTAATAATATATTTACTAAAGTCTATAGTATTAGTAAAGTTTAGATTAAAACTATTAGCTATTATAGCTAGCCTATTAATCTTATATTAAATAATATTAAGTACTTTCCTAACTTTTACTATAATCTTATCTTAATAGTATTAATTAAATAAAGGGAGTATAAAGTAGATTTTAATAATCTAACTATTATCTATAAAGATATAGGCTAGACCTTTATAAAAATAGAAGAGATTAGAAACTTCTTTATATTCCTATATACTAACTTTATATTTCTAGTAATATTTATAATAACCTCTTTTAATATAACCTAATATTTAGTATAGCTACTAATCTTAAAAGTAATAGTAGAAAGATAGTATTAGTAATTTAACTATATATTTAGTAAGTATATAGAATAGTTTATTAAAATAGTTAAAGGTATTTAGATTATAAAACCCTTATATATAAATATTAAGAGTACTATAAATAACCCTAAGTTATATAAAATATATTAGCTTAGTAGAATACTAAAGTAAGTCTCTTATTATATTTAAGGTATAAATTTTAGATTACTTAATTAGATATATTTTAATCTTATTATACTCCCTAAAGTATATAATAGTAATAAGTAGATCTCTTACTTCTATATTAATAGTATCTAATACTACTAGGCCTTAATATATAAGAAGAAAAGTAGTTACTAATAGGTAATTATTAAATTTATCTTATAAATATAAATATAGTTTAATTTACTAATTTATATTTTCTATTCTAATAATAAAGGATTAATTAATTAAAAGATAATAGATTTTATAAAAGAAAATAGGATTATTACCTAATAGACTATAGTTAATATATTCGGTAAGCGAGCTATATACGTAACCGAGCTATATACCCTAACCAAAACGTGTCTGTAAATTAGTACTTAGTTAATTTAACTACCTACTATACTACTAAAACGCTGCCGATTACCTATAAAGTTAATAGAATAGGAAGGTAGGATCTTATTAGCTATCTAGGCTTTTAAGAAAGGAGAGACTATATCTATTTATAGGATAGTACATATCTTTAATATACCTAAATCTATACTCTATATATACCTATATAGTATTTAATAACACGTAACTCTATATACTAACTCTTCTAAATTAACTGTAATTAAAGAGGAATCTCTTTAGAAATAGATACTCTTTATAGATTTATATAGAGCGTCCCTCTAGTATTCTTCTATATAAGAAATAGCTAATATTCTTCTTTAATAATATAGAACTACCCTAGTTATTTTAGTTAATAAGAAATAGGTTTATAACTTTATTAAATAGTACCCTAACCTCTTATCCTAATTCTTAAGATATTATAATTATAAGTATATAAAATATAAAGACCTAAAAGTAATTACTAAATAGTTTAATCTTATTTAAAAAACTATTATCTAATATAGAATCAATCTAAACGATATTTATATGTTGGAATATATATGTTCCTGTTTTAATGATATAATTGATGATGTCATTGATTGCTTACTTTGTTACATCTAAAGAAAGTCATGATTCATCTAAAGAGAAGTCATGAATCATCTGATCTTTGATTTACTAAGTTATCTGCGATGTTTGATTACTATAAGAAAGCCCTAAATTATACTGAATGTTAGTTAGACAAATTGACTATTTCATCCCATGATATATACTTTAATCTTATCTTTGACCTGATACTTGACTGCCTAGCTGTTTATCTATTTAAATACTATGTATTTAACCCCTCGAGAGTGTATTATAAAGTATTATACCTAGTTCTACTAT